TCGGCGCTGGCATCTTCGGCACCAGCACCGCATACCACCTTTCCCAAACCCACCCAGACCCTTCAAGGGTCACAATCCTCGACGTCGCCCCCTACCCCCCGCCCCGAGCGGCATCAACAGACACCAGCAAGATCATCCGCACTGACTACACCAACCTCTTCTATATGGAAATGGCATACGAGGCCATGGACGCCTGGGCGAACTGGCCTATCTTCACCAAGGCAGGGGTATTCCATCGTACCGGCTGGGTTGTTTTTGACGGCAAGGAGAAGGATCGTTCGTCGCGGATCAGGGAGTGTTTCCGCGCAAGCAGTCGGGACGATGTCACGATGGACTTTACGTGGGATGACGTAAAGGCGAAATGGCCGGCTGAGCTGGGGCAGGTTGAGGGGGAGGGGCTGGAACCGTCATATTCCAGCCCTTCTCCTGCATGGGCAGATGGGGGGGACTCGATACGGCTCATGCTTGATGAAGCTGTGCAACGCGGGGTGAAGTATGAGGTTGGTGAGGTCAGCCGCCTCGTTCCTGGGCAGGACGGGATTGAGAGCGTAGAGACCAAGGAGGGCAAGGTATATAGGGCCAAGAAAGTGTTGCTGGCAACCGGAGCGTGGACGAGCCAGCTGATGTCGCCCCTGGAGGATGAATTGGAATTCGCGGAGAAACAGAGGGTAGAGACGCAGGTGACGGCGGAAGCGGTCCCGATTGTGCAGTTCAAATTGTCCGAAGAGGAGATTGAGAAGTATAGCAAGCTACCCATCGTTGTGTATGGTAGTGAAGGTATGTGAAAATCATAGTTTCTTAATCTTCCCCCAGCTTCTGGTCTCTGATCCCTGGCATAAAACAGGACAATTGCTCCCACCAACAAAAGACGGAACTGCAAAATTCAACACGACTGCCTTCTCAAACACTGTCATCACCAAGACGGGCCATAAGATTACAGCTCCTCCAACCCAGGATCAATCCATTGTCCCCGAACAATTGAAGGAGAAAGCACTGAGCCAGATCAAGATGCGTTTGCCTCAGATGTTTGAGAACGGCCGACAACCACACTCCTGGCGCGCTTGCTGGGAGTCGGTTTGCCCTGACAAGAATCAACTAATGACACGTCATCCCAATCCGAAGTTGTCCAATCTCTATTTCGCCATTGGTGGCTCGTTCCATAGCTGGAAGTTTCTCCCTACTATAGGCAAGTATGTCGTCAATGTTCTGGAAGGAGTTGGGAATGGCGAAGACAGAGACCGTCGTTGGGGATGGAAAGATTATGAGGAGGCTGTTCTTCCCACTGTGGCCAAGGACAAAGCGGAGTAGATAAGCAGGACATTTTTAGTTGCTGCCTTTCCTTCCAGATGATGTTGAATGAATGGCGTTCAGAGCCCGGATATTCCTGTCTTCTCTCACAGTGCGATTGTTGAGTTCTGTTGGGGGTGAATAGTGCTTGCTGTTAGTCTCATTGCTTAACCGGCAGACTGTGGTTGATACCAGCTTCAGCTGGCATAATTGCCATTGCCATTGCTATTCTCCTAATACCAAGTTCAAGTTGCCTTCACTAAATTGCAAGTTAGCTTCCTTCCCCTGAACAAGGAGTAACTATAATCAATCTTGCATGTTTGAATCACCATGAACTGAAACGGGCCATTTGTATGCCATCAGCCGAACAGGCGATTTGGAGCCGACATACATTCAACAGTTTGAATTCCTGAAAATGGATGGCCACGGGCAGGGATATCGACAATTACATAATCCAAACGCTAACCCCAAAGCAGCGGGGCCCCCTTAATTTCCAATCACATGACCGGGAAGCCCTCAAACATTTCGTGCCTCTTCTGCTGAACCTCAAACGCTTCGCCTACAATCTGGATACATCCCAGTTCAAAGGGGGGTATTTCTGGAAACCGCCAGTGGTCTTTTGACCCTATTATTAAAACTAACATGCCGCCTTGACTTCTCAACTTGGCAATCCGCCCCCTGGCTGGGGGCGTTGCGACATGACCGAAACGTTAAGAATCTCAAGAATCTCGAGATACTCTCCCAAACGGAGGCGCCACTGCCAAAAAGTGAACGTATCTGCTGCTCTTGGCTTAGGCAAGCTGCTTCAGGTGTGTCGAAATGGGCATAGTTCCATTTCGACGGTTTCCATTTCGGGGTGTTGTGTGGTTGAACTTGTCAGGGGGGGCAGAGATATATAAAATCCGAGGCCGCGGATTTTCCCCCCTCTAAAAGATTCTCAGTTCAGTTCGTTTTTTTTTTTATTTTCTTTCCTAGTTCGATCAATTTGATATTGGTTCTATTACTATTTTTTTGTTGATGAACAACAAACTTCTTTTCATTTGAGTTTGTGTTTGTTTTTTGAATACCGTCGGGGTGATTGGGTATATCAACATCTGATACTTATCTATATACCCCTTTATCCCAAGAAGTATTACCACTCTTGGGCACAATCTACTGTGTCCTCTGATCCGCATCTATTTCTTACAAGTTGATATATAATACTTATCAAAATACAAACAACCATGAAACCGTACCACCTCTTCACAACAACCGCCCTCTTCACCCTCGCAGCCTCCCAAGCCACCGTCCCATCCATCCTCTCCGAATCCTTCACATCCGACGACGGTCTCCAAGTCAGCTTTGGCGGCGACGCCTCCGAAGGCCTCCAAAATGGCGCCACCGTCAACCTCAAACGTAACTCCAACCTCCCTTCCCGTCTCTAAACAAAAAATAAAAAAAATACCTAACACCATCAAAACAGAAGCCTCCCAACCCCCCACCTTCGCCCTCGGCGACGCATCAGGCGTAAACCGCGCCGCCACCTATCTAATAATGATGCTTGACACCACCGATCCAGCCGCCATGACGCTGCGCTACCTCCAATCCGGCTTCCAAGCCAGCGGCGACAAAACCAAGCTTGAGCCGCAGGGCGGCGAAGGCGAGGCGGAGGTCCCCTATACGGCGCCAACGGCTACCGATGGACCGAGGGATTATACGTTTTTGCTATATAGGCAGCAACAGCAGCGGGGCGGCGGGGCGGATAATGCGCAGGATAATCTGGCGGTGGGGGAGGGGTTGAAGGGGTTGCCCAGGGGGGGGGATGGGGAGACGTTTGACGTGAAGGCGTTTGAGGAGGGGAATGAGTTACAGCCTGCTAGGGCCGGGTTGGCGGTTAGGGTTGATGAGGATGCTGGTGAGAGAGATCCTTCTTCCCAAGTTTCTTTTTCTTCTTCTTCTTCTTCTTCTTCTTCTTCTTCTTCTTCTTCTTCTGTGGGGACGAGGTCCGCGACGGATGCTGGAAATGCATCATCAACCTCATCACCATCCCCGTCCCGTTCCTCCCAGCCCGCCATGCCAACAACAAAAACCCCACCACCCCTCACATCCACCCGCCTCCTTACAATAACTCAAGAACCTTCACTTACACAACAATCCACAGCTCCCTCGGCCACAGCCACAACGTCCGATCAACGGATCATGCCCATACCGACTGCCACGGGCTCAGGCGCGCCGAGTTCGACCGCTGGGGCGGGAGATCAGGCTGGCGAGGGGGCGGGTGTGGGAGGGTATGCGGGGGCGTGGGTGGGGGCTTGGGTTGGTGTGGTTCTGGTTGTTGGGCAGGTAGGGTGGTGGGGGGTTGTTGTTTGAGGGGGTTTTAAGGGGGGCGTTTGTGGGAGGGAAAGGGGGGTTTGGATGTTTATAGCTGGGGAGGAGTTTGTTTGGTATTCTATTGAGCTGTGGTTTTTTTTTTTTTCTTCTTCTTCCATTTGAGGTTTTTGGGCGGTAGATGTTTTTCTTGCTGGACTTCTTTCGTTCTTTCCTTGTTGCTTTTATGCCGTTTTTTTTGAGCCTGGTTAAATAAAGTTAGTTTTGATTTTATATGGAGTTGTTTTCTATGGGAGATGTGCATTTTCCAAAGCACAAAAATGGACCTTGACTCTAGAACGCTGCGTTTAGCAGAATACCAAGCTGGAACATCTCGCCAGTAGGACCATCAGGAACTGTGCTCCGTCAGATCTTGCCCACATTCATATATAGTACTGTACAACGTCGAACGCGGTGGCTAATGGTAGTTTCCGACACACGCAGGGAACACATCTCAGGAATGCATAGCGCAGCCTTATGTAGTAGCCCAGTGATCTGACCTCAAGGGTTTTCTCATGCAGTACTAGTACGCTGTGCTGTTGGTTGAACAAAAATTAGGAAACTCAAGGAGATCCATGCCGGGGCAAATCTGCCTGCTAAGGGAGCGGAGTCGCCGATATCCAAGTCGGCTTGTGCACGAAGTATCAAATTGAAATGAGCTTCGGTCCCCATGGGATTCAAGTGGGTGTGGTGTACCCCTCAACCCCGTATTCCCTTCCTGGATGTGCTCAGATACATCGACTTTCCCCAGTCGTTACTCTCGTATAAATCCGTTGACATCAAGTGCACCAGCAATGGCGTGATTCCCTACGTGGATTAATATGCAAAGCTGTTTTAGCATCCACCACTCCCATCATGGCATCATATAGTTAGTGCCAATGAAATCCCAAAAAGGGTATCTGGTCATGGGCAGAAGCAATCATTGAGGACTGGCATTAAATTGGTCAATAATCACTCCCAGCAAAAAGAGTTTTGATGGCATACGGCCCAGAGATCATAAATAGCGAAGAAGGGCTGAAAAGCAATGGATGATATCAAAAGGGTAGTCTGAATCGACTTTCGGGCACTGTAGTTCCCTAGGTTGCTGGCTGTAATAGATATATCTAGTCAACATACACCCCTCTGTCCCGAATAAAATAACCTCTTGATATCGAAAATTCGGCAATTATGTCATCGCCCCCCTGCTGGCCAATCGGCTCGTTTTTTGTCCCCAAAACGGAACCTCTCCAATCTATTCTCCAGCTTCGGGCCATCTCCGTGCGTCGGGTTAAGAATAACCGCTTCTTCCTTCGGAACTTCTCCTCGCCTCTATTTTCCATCCATAACCCAGATAGACAGCAATTCCGGACGCCGACCTCAACAACAGCGGTTCCGTAGTGTAGCGGTTATCACAGTCGGTTCTGATGTCTCATTATCCGACTAACCCCGGTTCGATTCCGGGCGGGACCTGATTTTTTGCCGGTTTGACTTTCTTTTTTACTTCAGATCCGCTCATCACTTTAACTCTTTCGGGGGTCTGCCGTTATTTATTCCCGCGAGTTATATTTCTTTTTTGGTTGGCTGTTTCATGGTTTCTGTTAGAGTTTCTTACCGAGAAGCATAAACTAAAATATCCATCGCAGGAAAAAATACAAGGAAAAAATAACCTGCGCTGGTCAAGGAATGATAATGCCGCTGCTGGGGTTCTTCGGCTAAGCTGAAGCCAATAGCGGCAATACCATGCCAATACCCCCGGCACAGACATTAAATAACTAGCCCTAATAACGCACCGACCTGAAGCATCCCAACAGCCATCGACAGCCCCAAAAAACTGGGGTAAATATGCGCTAGACCCCAGCCAAGTTGAGCCAGCCAACCGCTGTCCCCAGACAACCGGTTTTGCCTAGGCAAAAGAGCCTAATCCGCAGGCTGGCCTGTTCACCGTTCGGACAATAACCGCTCTCCCCCGCCAATGGCGTCTTGCTCAGAGATGCCGAGGATGTTGAACGGCTTGGAGGGGATACTGTTTTGCGATGGGAGCTGAACGGAGCTCTGAGAGGCGTGGGGTTCAAAGGGGCCCAAGCTTGCTCTCCTTTAGTCTTTCATCTCTCTTTCTTGACGTTGTTTAATCTTTTCTCTTCTGTTGCTTATATTCCGCGGCAATTGATGAAGCTTTGATCATTTGCGGGAGGTTCTCGTCCGACTTCCAGCTGCGGGGTTGTGCTTCTATAGAGCTAGATTCATATATCTGTCTTTACTGGTAACTCCAGGGGAGAAAGCTGTCTGCATCCCAACGAACACGAGGGATTCTTTGAGGAGTTATGGCGTTAGGTATACGCTCTCTCTTTGCAAGTACTATGTCTACAATGTCTAACATGCTTGAATAGCTACTGCGGCTGCCGTAACCGGAGCTGGTGCTCTGGCAGCCTACCTGGATGGCAAATTCCAACTTAAAAAGGATCTGGCTGGTATTCACAGGGTGCGAAAGAGTGAGAGGGCTGTTGCTAAATCATGTATGGTCACCCCCTGTGCTAGGGGATTGATACCTCGAGAATCAAACTGTTACTCAAGCTGACAATTTGACCCTCTCAATCATATTACAGCCGCCGAAGGCCGACTGAACGTGTGGTTCATTTTCCGGGAGACCGTCCAGCAGTATCCTCACGCCAACTGCATCTGGTCGAAAGATGGCATTTATACCTTCCAGCAGGTCTACGATATGGCCTGCCAGTATGGAAACTACTTCCTCTCGCTTGGCGTGAAACGCGGACAGCTTGTAGCATTTTATTTGCAAAACTCGGCAGAATTTGTTATCGCATGGCTTGGGCTGTTGTCGATTGGATGTGCGCCGGCACTGATAAACTACAACCTCGCTGGAGATGCGTTGATCCATTGTCTGAAGCTCAGCGATGCAGGCTATATACTCGTCGACTCCGATGCGGAATGTTCTGCGCGGATAAACAGCCAGCTAGCGGAGATTGAGGACGGACTGGGCATGAAGGCTCTTTTCCTTGATGGGAATCTGAAAGCCCACGTTGCTACGTTTCCTGCCAAAGTTACGGATAAAACTCTTGCACGAGATATGGAAGCTGGATTCCCTGCTATGTAAGCAGTACTCAATTTCACAAAAGTATCACAAGGCTCCAGTCACTAACGTTTCGGACAGGCTTCTCTATACCAGTGGCACCACGGGTCTGCCCAAGGGATGCGCATTTACCATGGGTCGTATGCATGCAACGGTATACCAACGCAACCTACACGATAAAAAGGGCTACGGTGGTGACAGATGGTACAACTGCATGCCATTGTATCACGGGACAGGAGCTGTCTGCATCATGAATTGCGTCGTCACTGGTGTCAGCTCCGCCATCGTCAAGAAATTCAGCGTGACAAATTTCTGGAAAGACATCCATGAGTCCGACTCAACATACTTTGTCTACGTAGGAGAAACAGCCCGATACCTCCTCGCCGCCCCCCCATCTCCATTAGACCGCGGCCATAAAGTCCGTTGCATGTATGGCAATGGCTTACGACCAGACGTCTGGGAGAAATTCCGGGATCGCTTCGGCATCGAAGCTGTGGCCGAATTCTTCAGCAGCACAGAAGGCATTTTCGGACTGCTCAACTACGACTGCGGCCCCTACCAATCCAGCTGTGTCGGCCACCACGGCGCCATCCTCCGCCGCCTGATGCACAACGTATACATCCCCGTGGTGATGGACCCCGTAACAGGCGACATCCATCGCGACCCAGTCACCGGCTTCGCAACTCGCGCATCTTACAACGAGGGCGGTGAAATCATCGTCGCTGTCCCCGACGAATCCGCCTTCCAGGGCTACTGGAAGAACCCGGAGGGAACCGCGAAGAAATTCGTCCGTGACGTGTTCAAGAAGGGCGACATATATTTCCGCACGGGTGACGCACTACGCCGCACGGATGATGGCCACTGGTACTTCCTCGACCGCCTCGGAGACACGTTCCGCTGGAAATCCGAAAACGTGTCCACGGCCGAAGTAGCCACCGTCCTCGGCAACTACCCCGGTGTTCTCGAGGCGAACGTATACGGAGTCTCTGTCCCTTCGCATGAGGGAAGGGCGGGCTGTGCGGCTTTGCTGATTGATCCGGATCACCAGGCCAAGTTTGACTTCAACGCGTTTGTACGCCATGCAAGAGAGCAGTTGCCAAAGTATGCAGTGCCGGTGTTTGTGAGGCTGGTGCAAGCGTCAAGTCATATTCATAACCATAAGCAGAATAAGGTCCCGTTGAGGGAGGAGGGGATTGATCCGGACAAAAAGGGGACCAAGGTCGAGGACGGAGGCAATGATCGGTTTTTGTGGCTGCTACCACAGGCAGATACGTATGTGCCTTTCGGGAGGGAGGAGTGGGAGAGCTTGGTACAGGAGAAGGCTAGATTATGAGGTTGGCGGAACTCTGTTTATACATATGTGTGTTGATAACGACCCTCTCGCATTGCTTACTGGTGTACTAAGCATCATCCGCGTTTAAATAGATATTGAAGCACAATATGTTCATTCAACCCTGTCTACTTATATGAGAACGTCCCTTGCCATTCCCACTCACTGCACTGTTGTAGATATCCTCCGCAACTATTTAATAGGGGTCCGGCACGTGACAACTCCAACCCTATCTACCGTGGACCTCCCTATTAGACATCCGCCAACCTCCGTAAATACTACTTCTCTAACGTCATAAAAATGGCATTGGGATTTAAAATAAAAAGCCAGTTAAAACCCAACCTTTCCATCCGAATCTGCATTAATTTTCAAGCTCATCGTTTTCCCCGTTTTTTCCGACACTACCACGTCCTCAAAATGCCCTCTCTAACCTCCATTCCGCTCGAAATTTTTGATATCATTGCAGCAGGCCTATCCAAACGGGACTTTATCAATCTCTCAACTGTCTGCAGACGTCTCCGCTATAACACCATCCCATGGATGTTCCGCCATGTCAGGATCGGGTCTTCGCCGGATGAGCTGGTTCGGATTCAACAGCTATCAACCTCCCCTTTTGCCGAATATGTACGGACAGTTTGCTATCACGTCGAAATCCCAGTGAGAGATCCACTGAGATATAAACGGGCCCTTAAACGTATGTCAGCTAGCTTAAGGAAGCTTCAGCGCCTGGTTGGTATTCGGCGTGGTAGAAACTCTCCTGTAACTATTGAGTCTTCATTAGCCAACTCCCTAGCGGGATTCCCTCACCTACAGTTATGCAAATTCGAGTACGGAGAACTCGAAATAAGGACGGAGAGTTATCGAGACGAAAAGCCACTTACAACGCACGGACACAAAGTCCTTCGAGCGATCGGATTGCTGCAGGATATGACACCGCACCGAGAACCCCCTGAAATTGTGTTTCGCTGTCTGGAAACCACCCCCTTCGATTACCTCCGATACAATCTATACACAGACTCCATATATCTTGACCTTTTCCGACATAATCTTCGCGGTATCAAATCGCTACACATCCAAAACGACAATATCCTGCTTCAATCCATCGCCTGCAAGGTTTGCCTGCCGTTACTGGCAACATTCAAGGTGACAGGGTCAGTTGAGCCCATCAAGGCGATGCTGCAGCCGATAGATCTTCCGGCGTTCGCAGCGTTTAGCAAGCGCCATGCAAAAACACTCAAGACCCTACATGTTTTCGGTTATTTCTGGTCTTACAAAGACCAATTGTATGCCCTAGGCGATTCCGATGCGTACGAAGCTTTACAACACCGCCTGTCCAATGACAAAGCGTGGCGTAGTAGTGCCCTGGAGGAGGTGATTTTCAAACAGCCTCCGGATGATTCGAGAAATTCACGCCTTGAACAGCTGCTACTTGGTTCTGTAAATTCGGGGATGAATGGAGCGGAGTAAATAGTTGGGAGCTCTTGAAGTTGTTTTCTTCCGCGCTGTCTTTTTTCCTTCCGTCCTTTCTCCTATATTTCTTCTTTTGTAAATATTTATTAGTTCATCTCCCAAGCTCTCCTGCTAGTCAATCTCCTTGGAAGTTTCCGAGACTTTGCAATGGCCCTGCCAATATTTGGAGCCTGCTTTGACGCGCACATCTGCCAGGCTCGCCGGGGATTCATTCATCAGGGATAAGGGGCTTCCCCTTGCCCATCGTCTCCTCCAACAAAAAATCCTTGCCAATCAATATCTAAAGGTTCATATTCACTGTTGAAGTTATTGATTCCTTGGTGAGTAGACCAATTTTTCCTGAAGGGATATATCCAGAGGCCTTGGATCACCTGACCCATCTATTAATACCATCCAAAGTCAGCTCAACCGAACCATCCGCCTTCACTATTGTTTACCGATCAAAAATACTCGATTTTCGATGTTTTCTCGTCTTCGCTTATTATTGTTGCCGCGAACGCAGGTCTTCGATCGATCTCGCCTTGCTACATTCTTTATGTTTCGTGCATGCCGCCCTACATCCCGGTCCATGTCATCCTCAACCAA